TGGTAAAATCTCTTGATAAATTTCTACCACTTCGTATCTTAGCTGCCCTGGATTAGACCCCATAAAGTATAAGACAATGAACACCTAGTTGGGGGATAAGTTAGAAAAGATAGAAAAGTTACTAGGTTATAAAATATAAGCTATTAGAAGGTAAGATTTATCTATTAACACCCTGCAGAGTGGAGTAGATAAGCAAGCAGTAAGTGCCATGATGGACCAGGTCTCCAAGAGAACCCAACTATAATTGAGTAAGAGGATGGTGGTTGGTGAGCAGGGGAGAGAGTTGAGGGTCGAAGGGAGAAATTAGCATAAAGCACTTTTTAAAAACAATTTTCCTTCAATGACTTATATGAAAAAATTTCAAAACCCAGCAAAGTTGAAAGAATTGTGTAGTATAAATCTGTGTATATGCTACCTAGATGCTACCAATTGTATTTTTAAAAAGGAATTATTTATTTAATTTTATTATTATTATTATTATTATTTTAAAGTTGCTATAGGGCATGTGAGCTCACCAGAGAGACAGAGAGACAAAGAGAAAGTAAGGAAGTAAACTGCCAGGTCCAGGATTCAAACTGTGGTCGACTGTGTGGGAGTCATGTCTTAATTACCATGCCACCTGCTGGCCCCAACCAATCATTTTTACTATACTTGTTACCACTCTGTTTTCAAGATGCCGCCATGGGTTTTGCAATCTATTTAATAGGTCGTGAAAAGAATCGAAAGAAAATTTCTGCATCCATTTCACATAGAGCTCCCACCACCTGTTACATGTGTGTACTTACTCAGAGTACCCTTCAACTCGGTTTCAATGCCAATGTTTTTATATTTTATAAGTCTACAAAATTATGTCCTTCTTCATGTAATAAAAATCATTAAAAATAATTGTCTAAAGTAACAGAGTACTTGTGTAACATGAAGGAGAAATAAGTCATTTAAATTTTGAGGGGAAAGTTGCTAGTGGGAGAGTCAAAAGTATTTAGCCCTGCATTAAAAGTTCAGGAACAGAGAACAAGAAGAGGCAAAGGTAAGAAGTGCATATTTGGATGTCATCTCTACAGATAAAAAGTGAAACAATTAAAACACATGGTATTTCTGGGGTTGGAAAAACAAGAACTGAATTTTAAGAATGTTCTTACATTAATGGAAGTAACATGGAATTATGGTTAATATGAAAGACAGGGGAGAAGGTAGGATCACAGGATAAAATGTATACGGAACTTAGAAAATAAACAGATCTCTGCAAGTTTGAGATGTTAGGAAGACTTCACAAAAAAGGAGGGCCTTGAGAAAGGACATGGAAAGAAGACATATATGCAAAATATAAAAATATATAGTATTTGTGTAATTTATTTCTATATAAAAATAATATTTTTTAAACTTTATTCAACTTTATTAATTAATTTATTTATTTTAATTTTTCCAGAGAGGGACAGAGTGAGAAAGAGAGAAAGGGAAAGTGAGAAAGCAAGCCACCAGGTCCAGGACTTGAACCACGGTTGACCATATGGGAGTCCAGCGCCCTTAACCACCACGCCACCTGCCGGCCACAGAAAATATGTATTTTGTTATTAAGAAGTTGTTAGGGGGACCAGCAGATGGCATAATGGTTTTATCACTAGACTCCAATGCAATTGACCGTGGTTCTGTGGTTTGAGTCCCAGACCTAGCAGCTTAGAACATGCTGGGAGCATGAGCATGCATGCCTAAAATCCCAAGAGGAGAGTGGAGGAGAAGGGATTGTGGCATGGCCATCCCTGGGAGATGATTTCTTGCTTCCTGTTGCTCTGTCTTGCTGGCGGGCCATGTGCCCTATAGCAAAAATATCTCTCTCTCTCTCAAAAAAAGAAGTTGTTAGGAAGACTACCAGAAATGAG